GGCCACAAACTTCGACAAGGGCACTGGACAACGAATCGGCATCTTCGTGCTTGCGACCCGATTTGTAAACGATCATGGAATTTAATTCCTGCAAACGAAGACTCCATCGTGCCAGTCACCCGCATGGGTCCCGTAGGTTGGTTAACCAGCACAACGAGTGATGGTCGGACACTACTTTGAAATGGCATTCATAAAGATAAGGCCTAAATTTTATCGTCGTCCATACATTAGCGAGGCACTCCCTCGCTTCCACGCCCACCTCGGTGTAGAAAACAGTGCGGCTAGCGTACGCTATCATTCGCTCCGTGCCCTGTGGTAGTTCGACGAGGATAGCGCCATGACCCACGTTGCTGGCGTCAGTATGAATCTGAGTATCAACATCTTGCTGAAAGTGAGCGAAAGCTGGTGGTGTCTGCAAACGCTCTCGTAGTTCAGAGAAAGCTGCGTCCTGTTCTTTCTCCCAGACGAATGTCACGTCTTCACGAGTTAGTGAAGTGAGCGGTTCAGCAATCCTACAAAAATTGGCTATAAACGGCGATAGTACGCGCAGAGCCCTAGAAAGCAACGTACTTCCTTCTCATCACGTGGAACAAGAAACGAAGCCATGGCAGTGCTTTTGTCGGGTTCTGATCAAACACCATCCGCACTGACATGGCCGAGAAACTTTAGTTCTTTATACCCGAAGTGACATTTTTTTTGCTTAAGCATCACCTACACAGAGTGGAGCACTTCCAGCACAGTCTGCAGACGCTTGAGGTGCTTCTCAATGGTTTCAGAAAACAAGACAACACCATCAGATAAACTAGGCACGTGTGCCCTTTTAGACCGGTAATGTCAATCATTCACTGGAATGTCACAGACGTGAAACAGAAGCCGAAGAGAAGAACCTTAAATTCATATAGGCCGTTCAGTGTAACAAAGATGTTTTTTACACGATCTCGAACATGAACTTCCACCTGCCAGCATCCATTTGTCAAGTCTATCGATCAAAAATACTTGGCTCGCCGCAGTCTGTCGAGGGAATTATCGATGCGAGGCAGTGGATAGGCATCTTTTTTAGTTACGTTTTGTGTAGTCTGCACAGAAGTGCAGTAATTCATCTTTTTTGAAGGCAATGGTCTTTTTGGAGAACTTCAACAGAAAGATATTGGTCTGTCTGTCTGTACATTTTTCTGTTTGTCCGCCTTTAACGATACCTCAAACGGCTGACTCCATCCGCAGCGCCCACCAATATTGCTGAAGATTCAGTGTTCATACTTGTGTGATTGTCCAATAAAAAGAAATCATTGCGCAAGCCTGAGGTACCATAACAACACGTCGATATTTAGTATGTGTGCCTTTAGCCTTTATACTGGAGAAGGCACACACAAGTAATTCTAAGAACCGTAGCGTTAAACACAATGCGCTGAGAGTGCAACGCGATGCTCAAAAAGGCAAGTGTTACCAACGCTTTGCTAAAACGACACGGTGGTTGCACCAGTCCATCCCTTTGCGTTCTACACGTTATCGCCTCCGAAAATGACACGCATATTTCTCTGCAGGCGCAAACGCTTTCCTTCGTTTTGGAAGATAACTGCCAGATGGCGATCGTGTCTAACGTGCCTGCATGTGCTTGTTTGCCTCTGCTGCATGCTCGAGGCACTCTTATAAGTGCCTCCAGAATACTATTCACCGATTTTCTGCGCATAACATCAAAGAAATGTTTTGTTCACTCTATCCGGATGCAAGACTATTGTCTTGCGACGACATTTGCAGTGTAACATGCAGATCAGGGGCCCCCGTTTTTTTCTTCACGAGAATGACCAGAAATGACCAGGGACTCTTGGAAGTTTGAATAAGGTCACCTTGCAGCATCTCTTCGACTTGAGCATTTATCGCGTCAAGTTCCTTTGCCGAAACGGGGTAAGGGTGTTGTTTTATGGGTGAGGCGTCGGTATACGTAATTATTCCGTGTTTGGTGATTGGTTTCTGAAGAACCTTCGAGTTGGATGCAAAGCACTCTTCATATTTATGTAGCAATTTACGCAACTCAGTCTGTTGTTGTTCCGAGAGGGTCAAATTGACATCAATTTCGGCAAGTAACGAAGTCACGTGACTTGGTGTCGGTAGAAGCCCGTCGTCGCCTGATGTAGATGCGGAACATCCATCAATGTCGGCGACAGGGTAGGCGAAAGTGATGGTGTGACAAAACAGGTGGCGGTACTCGTTACTGAAGTTAGTGACAAGTAGGGCAGAGTGTCCAGCATGAAGCGTCACGAGGCTGCGTGCAGCGCAAACACCTAGCGTGAAGAAAAGCGCCAAGTTGCCTTCGGCAACGACCTCGCCATCCCGTACCTTGTCGGACACCACATCAACTAGGCCGCTGAAACGCGGAGGTAACGTGATAATGTCGGCGTAAACGCGAAACGTGCTGTCACGGCTTTCGTTGGGCTTGTCGGTAGAACCAGCTATCGAAAACGTCACGGTACGCTCGCGAAAATCGATAATAGCACCTTGCTCCCGGAAAAAGTTGATTCCCAGGATTAGGGATCGGGAAGAGTCATAAAGTACGAGGCAGCTGGCGAGAAACGTAGGTCCTCGAATACTCACCCTGATAGATCACATGCCGATACGGGTGACTACATGTCCGGCGGCAGTACGAGTTTTTGTTTCGTACCAAGACGTAACACATTTCTTTATGTGCGCTGCTAGTTTACCGCTCATGATCGAATAGTCCGCACCTGTATTCAATAATGCACTAACATCGTGCCGACCGTCGACTACCACGTGTATCTCCAAAGAAAATCTGCTGCCGGTTTTCGTTGCTTTCATCGGTGAATTGGTGTGAGTCCGTGCTTGTGTCGATGGGAGGCCTTGCTTGCGTCGAGTGTCAGCGGCCTCGCTCCCCAAAACCACTGTCCTTAGTTTTCCCGCCTAGGGCTTGGTGAGCGCGCCTGCAGCGCCCCTGGGAGGCTCCAGAAATTTGAAGAAGATCGTCTTGGGGATGGGGACCGCGACTGCCGCCACAGTGGCATGCGCTGCTATGAGAGCTAATCTTCAATAGCTCTCAATCTTTCCCCGAATCTCGGCCGTGGCGAGTCGAAGGCGAAACCCTGAGTCCAAGGTGGTAATAGGGACATTCCCGGTACACATGTCCCGCTTCACTACAGTGATAACAGAGTGGTCGTCTGTCTGGTGTGCACCATACATCGCATTTTCTTGGAAGTGGCTGTCGATTTTCCCCATTTTCCAAGTAGCTGGCTGCAGCGAAGGACGTGCATCCTGAGGCGTAGCGTTAACGAAGCGCGGTGAAGCAGGAATATATCGACCGACAGCTTCCGCGTAGGTTGCATAGCATGTTTTCTTCGGGACATGCAGGACATGACTGAAAGGCGGCCCTTCCCGAGTTTGTCGTACTTTATTTAAGACGACGCTGCAGATGGACCCCGCTTTAGGTTGGGCCTTACACTGTGTCTTTTGTCGGTCTTTGCGCACCACCGATCGAATGAGGTCGCAGAGAAATTCGATTGTATTGCTTCTTTTTGATTCGATGTTGATGCTGCATCCTACACCTTCAATCTGGCCTACTGACAAAGCGACAGTCACTTGCGGGTCGTACATAGTAGAACGTCGCTGCAGCCCTTATTCCATATTTGTGGCTTTGGTCAGGAACTCCGCCATGGTCTTTGGGGGACAGCGAATGAGGCCAGCAAAAAGCTGCTCCTTCACTCTTCGCATGAAATGGTGGAGCTTCTTTTCTTCTGCCATGTCGGGGTCGGCTCTTTTAAAGAGGCTCCTCATGTACTCGACGTACATTATGACGCTCTCGTTCGGCATTTGTACGCGTGGGTCGGCTCTTTTAAAGAGGGTCCTCATGTACTCGACGTACATTATGACGCTCTCGTTCGGCATTTGTACGCGTGATTTGTACTCGGCTCGTTCACGACAATCGGGATTGGCCCAGATAGCCAGCAACTGACGGCGAAAGGTGTTCCACAAATAAAAGGGCTCACGGTTTTTGTAGCAAGTACGAGCGCCATCCTCCAGCCTGAAATACACGTTTCTCATCTTGACGAACTTGGTCTTACCATTATATTATGTGACCCGTTCGAATTGAACTAGCCAGAACTCGACATCAACTAAGACGCAACCACGTAACACCTTCGGTGCAAGTAGCCGCTTCCGCAGCGTGGGAGGCGCGGCTGCAGTGGCTTCCAGAGCATTGGGGGCTGCAATGCCTTCCACAGCGTTCGGAGATGTTACTGACGTCATCTCGGGCAGAAGTCTGAGCACAGGAGGTAGCCCTCCGAGTCTTCGGCTTGCGCGGTGAGCAGGTGTTGTCACTACAGATACAGGGCTACCTAGAGGTGTTTGGAACATTGGCTGGGGGTTACCCAGCGCCTCAATTAGTTGTCGCGTGCTACGAAAGGTCTTTTACTCAGAAGAACTGAGCCAACAGGGAGACGCACAGAAAACTGGCAAGATAACAGACTCAAGAGCAACAACTAGCCAGAGCGCGCGCTGCCCTTTGACATCTTCCATTCTAGCGGGCAGCCATGGCTCACGCTCACTGTACCTAGTGGGCAAGGGGCAATGTATATACAGCTTTTGTGCATAACCTCCTGTTTAACACGTAACCACTCCCTTGCGAGCCCACAGCCTGAATATGTAGCCAGATAGTGTAATTTCTTAAAGTAATATTTTTAAAACGTTACACGCAGGACGAGAACAACACTACCTTGCACACAATTGGCACCACCACCAACGACAACACTGCAATCTCTGATGCCACGTGTGAGAATACTATACCACCTCACCGCTGACTGGATCACCAACGGCCGACGATTGGGCGGAAGACAATCGTTGCACTGAGCGTGCGCGAGGATTCTGGGCACAACATCACCAGTGATGTGGTGTTTTTTTGCTCGCTTGCTACATTGTAAAAACCACGTGACAAAAAAAACCCTTTTGCATAAGATTCTGATTATTGTACAATATCACAAATAAATTCTGACACTCACAAAGAATGCCGCCGGCCTCGCCCTTTTGACCCCTGAAAATCAATCCAGAACATGAATACTCTGAGCAGGCAGAATAACATTTCCGCTTCGAACTTTCGCACGATCACATAAAGCAGCTTTAATGGGCATGTAGGTAATGTACTCGTGTGAGAAAAATCAGGAACTACATGATATTACTCTCTGGCTTATGATACAGTTAAATTGGAATTTGAACCTACAAACGGCGTGGTAATCATTTACTTCAAATATTGACGCCGAGATTATGTAGAAAAAATGGAATTGATGCAAATCGCATGCGTATCAAATGTCCGCTCAAACAGCGCGAATGATTCCTGCTTCTTTGGCCATTAGTTTCAGTGCAGCCCACTTGCAATATATCGATAATATTTATTCAGGTTTAAGGCCCCAAAACACTGCCCCACAAGTAATTGCGAACAAAACAAGAAAGAGCAATGCGCACAGTGTAAACACCGCACTTTGCACTATGCTTTGTCGTTGTCTTTTCCGGTTTAACGCGCTGTGCATTTGTCATAGAGGATGTTGAAAGAAATGTGTTCCGATATCCGCAAAAAAAAATAGAATCAAATATTTGCTCGCTGCCATTATAGGTACTTTTGCTGTGGTGGAAGACATCATTAGGTCACTATATATTGAAAGTGCAGTATTTCTGAATATATTAACAAAGTTTGGATTAGTGGAAAGAGACAGCCGTGTCAATTGAGATAATTGCTGTTATTCCTCCGAACTCTGCAATGCCGGATGGATGCTTTGACAAATCAGCCTTTGGTATTATTTTGTATTGCTCAATAGTGAAACCCAAATAAAAGTTCTGGCGAGCATAATAGTCAAATAAATCTAAGAGTGGAAAATAAACATGAAATTTAAACAAAGACTTACCTCTGGATATTGTTCGAAATAGCTTAACTTATGGATGAACCCAGAGAGGGCGAACATTTCGAAATGAGAACGCACACAAACAGGGTAATCGAAGTCCGAGTACAAGCCATGGCTCACGGCGATTGGTCTCTTCTGCTGCAGTAGCTAGGACAGACGAAAAGAACCTGTTAAGCAAAGTAATTAAAGTACGGGAATTTCCACACATCACAGTCATTCCTGAGTCTGTGTCACTAATGATCTTGAGGGATCCAGTTTTACTCCGGGCGGTATATTTCTACAACAAGCGTGGGCGTGTGTACAGTCGATCACAAAACAATGCGGGCCCCGCGAGAGTGTAACTTAGTCACCGTCTGCATCCGCTAGTGACTAGCTTCCTTCTGTAGGCCACAATGCTCTGGCCCCGCAATCACTTCACTGATGCTCTGCGCAGCCAACGGCTCGTCACTACACGGCACAGACAAGAACTTTGCCACGTGCTCGCATGGTTTGTATTACTTCGTGGCCCAGTGTACTTGAGTAGCTAAGGAGCGTACTAATGAACGTTTCTCGCCAAGAACACAAACCTGGGGCGCCAATACGATCTCCTGTTCAGCAGAGCTCTACACGTCAATTCAACATAGCCACTCATGTTTCTCGAGTCACTCGTAATTTGTATACCTCAGTCAGAGTCATGATTACACTGCTCTGACGAAGTATCGGGCGTTTGCTATATCTTTATATTGCCCGTTTTAGGTGCGAAGCTCCTAAAACCAGGGTTCTGTCTCTGCTAGCTTATACGTGATAACCTAGTTGGATGACTTATTCAGTAGGTGCGGATGGACAGACAGGCAGCCAGTTTGACTTAACCTTTATGGACATGGGAGTCAGGTAGGCTCGTGCCAGCTCATGCTATATAAAACAAAATTGCTCGAAATTATGCGAAGCCATCTTTACAGCATCTGCCATGTGTGCAAATCTGTTTTGCCATCTTCATTTATATAAACCGAAATAAAACCGGACAATTTTCAAAGTTACTATCAATCAACAAATCCTGTAGCACTGAGAGCAAGAACCACTTACACAGTTCGCGGAAAAGTGCACAAAAATGCAGTAAGTGAACTGTGCGTTCCTGCAACGCTGTTGTGGCGCATTCATTCGCTACAGGTAATCGATAGATAGGTGTGCTTCATCTCAAAACCAGCATGGCGCACAAGCGTTTCACACGAGCTCACACAAAGCACGTGCGCCCGCATGGAGTACCTTTGATGTTCAGCTGCACCATATGCGCTGGCGCCCTGAAGAGCGCGGCCCCGCTGCGCCACGCCCGTACCAGGAGAGGACGATACTGTACATCTGTACATGTTCGAGACGGTCGCTAGTGTAGGAGTGACTACCGAAAACAATGCAAGCACCGTGATACGGCACAAGAATGCCAGTCCACACGAGCCATCTTCATCCGCGTGGGAAACATTAATGGGTACGTGTAAGACACTTAAGTTCACTGTATTAAACCAATACAAACGGTTCGTTCAAATGTAGATTATAAATTCTATAAGGACGAGCAGCATCAGCCTTCGCTTTTAGCAGCATATTAGCATGGTCCGTGTTGTACGCGGGCATCGTGCAGAAACATGAGCTGCTTCTATTTCACAGCTCAGAGGGCAGCTTCGTTGGTTGAGTCAGTAGCGCCCTTTGCAGTGGGCAAGAAGCATGCGATGAGTCAGTGTGCTATCACAAGAAACAGAAGAAAGAAAAGCCACAAGAGTGTCGCACTTTGCGCAGTGGTGACTACGACCAGGAACTGCGCTGAAAGCTTGCGATGGATTGGTGGCTAACATAATTCAGTTCTTTTAATTTCCGATGCTTTTATATAAATTTTGACCTGTGTACTGTGATGGTGTGTTAATATGCAAGTGGTATATTAGCCTCGTTCGAAGCATGTGACTGTCGCGTAGAGCGCCTGACTTCGATGCTGAGTACTGATATCTGTGTACACGTGTTTTCACCACAGGTGTTCATGTAGGCACGGTCTCCAAAGAGGGATAGAGGAGGACACATAAAAGAACAAGACGTACCTCAACATCCATGCCGGATTATTATTTTGCATTCGCTCTGGATACGCCCCCTCTGGAACATTGCATGCCCGTGACGTCATCGTTGGATCGCCCTTTTAAAGACAGGCCACACAGTTGGACCTTCAGTGGGCACGGCGAAGCGGCTGGAAAGATGCCGCTAACGAAACGCTTCTTTTTCGTTGTACAGGCCGTGTTTTTCATGCTCGCCGGGCCATCGGAACCTTGCACTACCGGGCCATCGGAACCTTGCACTACCGGGAATGAAGTCGCGGCGATTACATCTGTCTCTGCTAACTACTGTCCAGTGCCTTCATCGAATTTGGACATACTGGATACGCCCCCTCTGGAACATTGCATGCCCGTGACGTCATCGTTGGATCGCCCTTTTAAAGACAGGCCACACAGTTGGACCTTCAGTGGGCACGGCGAAGCGGCTGGAAAGATGCCGCTAACGAAACGCTTCTTTTTCGTTGTACAGGTTAGTTTTTCTCTTTCAAATCATAGGTCTGGAGACGAAATTGTACTTCTTATTGTGCCGTGCCCACAGACATGTTTTATTATTGCATATGAATGTTATTTTGTTTGCAAGTTATTGCTGTGTGGAGATGTCGAGCAAAACCCTGGGCCAACTGTTGATGAAATGTTTCACGAGCTCTTGAAGGGACAATCTGATATCCGAGCAGAACTTGTAAGCCTTAGAGCACGTTTAGACTCAACAGAATCATTAATAAGCACCTTTGGAGTGCGTCTGAATAACTTAGAAGCAAATGTTAAGCAACTACAAACTCAGAAGGGCGTGAGCGAATCGATACAGGAGTCTGTAGATTCCATTCAGCAGTTAATTGATATTCATCAGTCCAAGCTGGTTGACCTTGAGAATCGCAGTCGCCGGAATAATCTTCTTGTATTTGGTATCAGCGCTGCTGGGAGTGAATCTGAAGCAGAGCTACGTGAAAAGGTAGTGAAGGGCATATTTCATGATCGATTAGGGGTGAAATGCACGACAATTGAGCGGATTCATAGATTAGGCAAGCCGGTATCAAGCAGACGTCCTGTTATACTTTTTTTCCAAGATTATACGGAAAAGCAAGCTGTGTTGCGTCAAGCACATAAGCTGAAGGGAACCAAAATTTATCTTCAAAACGACTACTGTCCTGACACACTCCGCAAAAGAAAACTGCTATGGGCAACTGCAAAAGCAGACAGAGAAAGCGGTAGCAAGGTTGCTCTTGTTCACGATAAGCTTCGTATTGATCACACCTTTTTCTGTTGGGACGACTCGCTTAATGCGCGTAGGAAAGTGTCACATGAGAGTGCCGTAGGGAATCCCAGCTAGCAATTAGGGGAGCACCAACTTCGTTTGCTTTGCTTCAATGCACGGAGTATAACAAATAAAATTGAAAAGTTGGAAAATATTTTGCTCACGCACGATCCTCATGTCTGTGTGATAACAGAGTCTTGGTTACATGAAGCCATTGGCGATAGCGAGATAGTTCCGCCGAACTACCAACTTTTTCGATGTGATCGTGGTCATCGGGGCGGTGGAGTGGCTGTCATTATCAAGTATGGCATTGATGTAACTATTGCTGAGCGTTTTCCAGTGAGAGAGAGTCTGCTTTTAAAACTTTCATTTGCTGATATGTCATTTTTTCTCTGTGTGGTTTATCGATGTCCTAATGCTGATGATTCTTTTATGAGCGGTTTGTACGATGAACTACTACGTCTACGAAGCAAAAATCTTATTTTAACGGGTGACTTCAATCTGCCAGCCATTAATTGGGATGATATAAATTATGGTACTTCTTCTTCGGCTGACACACTCTTAGACATAATGTTTTCTCTAGGCCTTGAGCAAATGGTAGGACACCCCACAAGGGGGAGTTCGATACTTGATCTGCTATTTACAACGGAACTCTTTACCGAAGCGACTATCACAGTTGAAACCGGTATTTCTGACCATAGATTAATATCATTTGTTTGGGACAGGCATGCACGTTGTAAATCAGTGAAAACGCCAGTGGAAAGTGTTGTAAGAGATTTCAATCGAGCGGATGATGTTGCAGTAATTGATTATTTAGAAACACATCTCCCCACATCTGTTAGTGATGTTGATAGAGCCTGGCAACGCTTCCGTGGTATTGTGGACTTCTGTACAAAGAACTTTGTACCGCTTAGGAGAATACGCAGGCGTTCACATAACCCATGGATAAACCGTGAGATTATACAGATCAAGAGAAAGATAAAAAGGTTACGAAAAAAACACAAGACTAGTACGCAACATTTTTCCGATCTTAAAGAAAAATTATTAGAGAGTGTTAGCAAGGCTAGGCATCAATTTTTTAACGACACACTACCTGAATTCATCAGGACAGATCCTGATAAATTTTGGCGCTATATTAAGCAAACTAAAGAAGGCGTTTCTGAAATACAAGTTGATGAGGTCACGATAACAGATCCGGCACTAATTGCTGATCATTTTAATAAATACTTTCAGAGCGTCTTTTCCGAACCACAGTATTATGAACTGCGAGACCCGATGCCCATAATCACGGATGATGTTCTGATAACTCGTGAAGGTGTTTTACAAATGTTACTTAAGGTTAATCCTAAGAAATCGTCAGGCCCTGACGGCATTGGTAATTCATTCCTACGACGCTATGCTGAACAAATCACTGACTTCCTTACTGCCCTTTTCAATGTATCATTCAAATATGGTCAGATACCAGCCGATTGGCGTAAAGCTCGTGTTGTGCCGATCTTTAAAAAGGGTAACCGCTATTCCTTGACAAACTACCGTCCTGTTTCTATCACTAGTAGCTGCTGTAAAATGTTAGAGCATGTTGTTGCAAATTACATTAACACATTTTTATCAGAAAATAATATTTTGTCGCCTAATCAACATGGTTTCCGAAAAAATATGTCTACGGTAACACAGCTTGTGTCTACAGTGCATGAATTCGCACGGGTTCTAGATATATCTGGGCAGACTGATGTGTTCTTTTTAGATTTTAGCAAAGCGTTTGATAAGGTGCCTCATGGAAAACTTTTGTTTAAACTCGAAAATATTGGGCTACCTTCGGGTATCGTTAAATGGATTCATATGTACTTAAATAACAGAACTCAATTTGTTGAGGTCAGGGGTTGTTTTTCTTCTTCGCTAAATGTTTCTTCTGGTGTGCCACAAGGTAGTGTGTTAGGCCCCTTGTTATTCTTAATTTTTATTAATGATTTAGTTGATGTCGTACATAAGGACATATCCGTCAGATTATTCGCGGATGATTGTGTTGTTTTTAAAGAAATATGTTGTGTAAATGACCACATATTACTTCAACAGTCTCTTACAAGTATAGATGAGTGGTGTCAAAACTGGGGCATGGAACTTAATAGTGACAAAACAGTTCTCTTGAGAATAACAAGAAAACGAACTCCCAGCCTTTATACTTATTTTCTCCGCAATAACCCACTCAAAGACGTAGAAAAATACAAATATCTAGGAGTCACTTTGACAAAGTCACTTACGTGGTCAGACCACATTACAAGCATATGCACGGCTGCACTTAGGAAACTGTGGTTTCTTAAGAGGAAACTTAAATCCTCAACGAAGGAGACTAGATTATTGGCATATAACACCTGCATCCGATCAAAACTTGAATATGCCTCGGTTGTTTGGGACCCTCAATGTAAAAAAGATATTGCCTTGATTGAAAAAGTTCAACGGAAGGCTGTCAGATTTATATTTAGCAAATATAAAAGATATGATTCGCCAACACAACTTATGCAACTGAATGATATACAAACACTGGAAACTCGCAGGAAAATTAATCGGTTAACGTTCCTACACAAAATTCTTTCCGGTAAAGTTACAACAAGTCTGCCCAACTGTGTGAAACCTCTATCTTCTAGAAAAACAAGACATAAGCATAAATATTCATTGGCGCCAGTTTTTGCCCGTACCACTGCTTTTAAAAATAGTTTTTTCCCTAGGACTATTGCTGACTGGAACTCTTTACCAATAAGTGCTTTTCAGTCCGAAGATATTGAAAAACAGCTTGAAACTTTTTTTGTTTAGTTCTGAATGATGTATCCATATGGTGTGTATTCGCAGTGCCCGAGTAATGTAGTTAGTTGACTTCTGCTGCGCATGAGTGTTCTGATCACTGTTTATGTGCCGTAACACTGTTGTGCAAGTGCACTATAAGTTGTCTAATTAAGTGCTGTGACATTGTACTTTTTTTTTGTTGTTGTTGTTGCCCCTCCTGCTTGGGCCTAAGTATAGGCCTGCAGAACCTGTAAATAAATAAATAAATAAAAATAAAAATACTTATTTTCTGTGCAAGGCGATAAAAATACATCAACATCACTTCAGTGTACCGATATGTAGCACGTCTGGATACATCAATTTCAGCACTATGCTGTCATAATGATCTCCGTTCAACACAGTGTAGATTGTAAGTAGAAGAACAATGTTGCACAAGCCGAGCCTCTGAACAAGAAATCTAGGCGCGTGAACACTTCAGCTGCTAGCATTACGGTCACTTACAATATGCGCATTCGAAAATGTTTACTGCTATCAAATCTTTTATACATTCAATAATTGAAATCGAAAAAAAGACTTTATTTAGACAAAGTAGTGCTGCGCCTACAGGTTCGGCGAAGATTTTGTTTCATGTGGTGGCATTCGGCAGTGATGAAATGTTGTCTGGATCATAGTATAAGAGTTATTAATCAATGCATAGATGATTCTGGATCTTTATAGAAAAAAATACTACTCGAGTGAAAAATTGAAAAACAGCACTTGTGTTACAGGGTCGCTTTCGTTCACGAGCAAGGCTGGCTTTGATAAGTAGTTTTTGAAGGCGCTGTATCAGGAGCTGTCACTGGATCGGGGATATCGCGGCCTACTAGGTCTAACCCCCGTATTCTAGAACGCCCCTTCACTGAACGCTCCATCTTCACTTGAGAAAGCCGATGGGAGCGCCATCTCTAGGCAGGGAAAGTCACTCAACTGAGTGGTAATTTGCTGCTATTGTTGAGTGGCGCAGTGTCCTTTTCAGCCGAGCAGCCACGCAGTGTGTAACTCTGTCAAGTGAAGGGTAAAATGTCCAGTCGAGGAGCGTTTGTGAATACAGGGTTAAGATAGAGTATGGGTTGAGTGGTCCCGGTAGCCCAGCTCAATTCCGCAGCTGACATCCCCACCCTACTTGTCTCTCTTTCCCAATCTCAACCCTTGCGCTCTGCGCACACCATGGGGCTTTCCCTCGGCCAAATTTTGTTCGCTTATATCATTAATGTTTACTGTAAAAGCGTAAAAAGAAATCGTAGGGTTGCCCTAAGAAGTCGCAGATTCCTAATTCACAAGAAGTTCGAGATTACGAAACCGCTTCAGGGTCCCTTTATTGAAAGAAAGCCAGCATCTTCTCATGAAAGAAACTTGAGTAAATGCGTCACAGAGTGGTGGGGGTATCACGTGAATGTTGCGTAATTGGGTATGGGTTGGGGCTTAGCGGGTAGCGTTCATCTCGGGTAGGTGTGCAGGTCGAGGCGGGTGACGGTAACCATAGGTCATGCTTATCGAAGGTACGTGCCCACGTACCAACGAGCCCTTACACGATGCGCACACCAAGTACGACTTGAACGGCTCCAACAGTCTATCATCGTCATAGTTGTAGCTGTTTCCGTTGTCGTTGACGCCGGTGCCCTTCAAGTCGACGTTCCCTAACAGGCTCCAAAGAGCCCGTAACGCGCTGGTCTGCTTCGCTGTGTTCTTGATGCTCCCGACTAGCGAAAGGTCGTTGTCGAACTGCAGTTGGTCGCACACCTTATAGATGTGTCCGAAGCTGTGGTTTTCAAAGTCGCGTTTGAAACGAGTGGCCGGCTGCGCAAAATGCTTTGCTCACCCCGCCCCTTTCGCAGCACGCTCGCGTTCATGAGCAGTTGCCATCTGTCGGCATCTGTTGCTTCCATCACATCTACTCGAGTTAAGCAAAGCGTGAGGTCAAGCGAAAGAGGGGGAAAGGAAGAAAGAATGGAGAGGGAGGGAGGGGAGAGAGCCGAGCACACGCAGTGGGGGTGTGGACGCTGATGACGAGTGGCATGGTGTGACTAATTAAAAGAGTCCATGCCAAGTTTTTTACGCAAAACACTTGCAAATTAAAAAAACGGCAGGTCGCAAGCATTCTGGGAAGCAATGTGATGTGGAGCAGCCAGCAAAGAGCAAATTATGTTGTACATAACAAGCAGATTATGATTTACAGTTTGGGACTTGTCATTTAAGTTTCTCATACAGTCGCGTTACGTAATTTCAATCTTGGCGAACATCAAGCTAGCAAAACGGTGGTGAGCACACCATCCGCGCGCATGCGAACCCAGTTGTACATGACATTCATATCATGATTTTTATGTCAGCACCTGTCAGTTATGTTCCTCATACAGTCCGGCCCCCTAATGCCAATTTTCGTTTATATCAAACTAGCGAAACTGCCGCGAGCATGCCGTGAGTGTGGCATGCAGTTCATTTTGCTCATGACATGTCATGATTTCCACATTACCACTGGTACTTTATGTTGGCTATGCAGTCACATGAAGCAATACCAAGTATGGTGTATATAAAGCTAGTAAAATGGCTGTGAACATGGCATACTAGGCATCTTGCACTTGATATGAGACGATATTCTCATGTCCACTTGTCACTTTGTTCTTGATACAGTCACGTCATGTAATATGAAATTTGTTTCACATCAAGCGAGGGAAACCACCGTGAGTGCGCCATGAGCGTGCCCGGCAAGTCATGTCACGCATGGCATCTCATAAATTTCATATTAAGCCGTGTTGTTTAGATTCATAAAGTTACATCACCCATTATGAACTTTGCTGTACATCAAGCTAGCAAAACGGCCGTCAGCGCACCATGACCGTAGCATGTAAATCAGACTGTGCATGCCTTTCACCGAATTATTTTCATTTTACAGCTGATCATTTATGTTGCACATGCTGAAATGTCCCTTGTTGTCTTTTCTTTTTTGATATATCAAGTTAAGCAAATGGCCGTAGGAGCGCGATGGCCACTGCATATAAAGCGTTTTTTCATGACAAGTTAGTGACGATTTTCATGCTACGACCAGTAATTCGTGTTATTCACATAGACATGTTACGCTATAACCATTTCGGTATAAATTTCATTAACGATACGGTCTGGAGAGAACAAAGTCGTAGGCAGATACAGGATAGATAGATAGATAGATAGATAGATAGATAGATAGATAGATAGATAGATAGATAAATGGATAGATAGATAGATAGATAGATAGATAGATAGATAGATAGATAGATAGATAGATAGATAGATAGATAGATAGATAGATAGATAGATAGATAGATAGATAGATAGATAGATAGATAGAAACGTTTAAACTCACCAATTTTCGCTAAAAATGCGGATCACGGGTTGATGTGGCGCACCGCGGTTGTAGAGTGCGAGCAGTCAGTATTTTTTTTTTTTTTTTGACGAATCAAGAAGCTCGCTAGCAGACGCTCCCTGCGTCGGCGTTGGAGACAGCAGAGGGGGAGCGTAGGAAAGGAGAGAGATGGGAGGGAACGCCCGTGCGCCATGGGGGAGCAGGTGGTAGGAGAAAAGTGGAGAGAGTAATAAGCAGCTGTTGAAGAGAGGGAATGAGGAGAGTCGCGCATGCATAATGTGAGTGCGGACTATTTACGAGTTACATATGCCCAAGCAAAAGATGCATCTCGACTGAAATGCTCCTCATTTGAAACTTACCGTTTTCACTCTCTTCACTTCGAGGTTACATTGGGGTGTGACTTTCGAACGAAGGGCTAAAGAAGTACGTGCGAAAGATTTTATCAGAAGGTTTGTATAACCACGCGTAAATTACAAGTGATGCACATACACTATAGAGTATTATTGGTTTAATAATGGAAGCTCATTGGCTTATACTTCAAAGTACACTTAGACAGAAATTCGCCTCCTCTGTGCATTGGAAAAGGTTATGCCTGAAAAGCAAGTGATAATTATGGCTTAAAGAATCTATTACAAACGAACTAGGTGTGATGCATATTCACATTGCTTTTATGTACTCAGAAGATAATTACATTCAGGAACATCACCCAAAGTCTGATTTTACCACTGGCACAAATTTTCAATGTATTTCCTGGAAGCAGAGTAAATGTGAGGCGATACCGACACCCAAGCAGCTTTGAAAAAACCTCATTGGGCATACTCTAGAGAACAGACAACTTAAAATAACAGAGTAGGAAAATGCTTGTTAAGTATTCATTTTGAAAGAGAGAGCATGCAACTGTGGATGCAAGAAATAACTAAGGACATCAAAAATGCTGACTAAGAACTGGAACGGCACAGAATCGCAAAAAAAACAAGCACGAAATCTTCTCAGCGTCTGCCCATGTAATAGAGTAATCTGTCAGCATGGCATGACTACGGCTTTACGTGACAGATAAATACTAAATTATTTGGTATCTTCTTTGCGAAAATTTGTCGACAGTTGACCCATGCATGCGAAACCATAATTGTTTAAATATTTTTTTTGCATGGCGTATATATTAAACCGAAATATGAAACCTGTACAAGAAAATTCGAGAGTGCCTGTGCATATTGTTACGACTGTCTTTTATATTTGGCTACGTAGCCAGTTTTTGTAGAATTCTTGTGTACTCATGAAAAATTATATGCCCCTCACGAACCACAAATGGCGTTCCCGCACAGCTGCGTTGTTTCTGCAGCCACTCTATATAGCCAGCGCTATCTGATGACATGTGAATGGTTTATCGTTGCTTGCTCGCTTTCTGAATTATTTATTACATCTCTTCATTATGTGATATTGAAGGCACGTGCACTGAAAGCAACGTAGAGATAACTTATTCCAACACACAGCTTGAAAGTTCTAGGGCCCCGCCGCAGTGGTATGCTGGCTAAGGTATACTCGGCTGCTAACCCGCAGAATGCGGGATCGAATCCCGACTGCGGCGGCTGCATTTCAAATGGAGGCGCAAATAGGGTAGGCCTGTGTGCTCAGATTTGGGTGCACGTTAAAGAACCTCAGGTGGGCAAAATATCCGGAGTCCTGCACTATGGCGTCCTTCATAATCATATGGTGGTTTTCGGACGTTAAACCCCACGTATCAATCAAATGGAAGTTCTGGGACAGTAACTTCCACTTTTAGTAAGAATCTATTGAACTGGATTAGTGTTACTGAATCAAAACTATCAGAACTATCTTTATAAATGATTCTCATACTCTTCTAGCAATAAAAAATGTCGTGCTGCAAGTAAACTGGGAATATTTTTATGGGCACAAACGGTCAAGGTAATTTAAAATGAATTTTTCAACGTTCCTTGCAAGTGTTTTGCATATCAATGAAAAAGAAGTACTCACATCGGCGGCACATAGCACACACCGCCATGTACGTCAATACAATCATAAAATACAACTTTCTTCGCATGATGATTTCTTGTGGCCATAAAACGCATCTGAAGAAAAGTATGGCAGTTTTGCTTATGTAAAGGTGTCTTTGCCTCTTTAATGCATTATCTAGAATATATCTAGCATTTTCACAAAGGCCACTACATGACGATATTATTGCCTTTTTCGTGCTATACCTAAGAATTGTCCAACGCTGTGAGAGAGAGCACTACCGGTCAAGTAAGTGCCAAATTAACTTAATAAACATTTGGGCTGAAATGCATACTAAAATGGCTGAAATATTTGCGCTGAACCTCAAGTAAATACCAAAAAAAAACCTCAATAGATTGTGATTCTGCATCACAAATGAAGGTTTCCCGCCTCCAACGCTTAATAAGCTGCTGAATCTGAACCTCACCACTACCTCTTGCATGTAAACACCAGCGTCTCCGAAGGGACCCAGCGAAGGGTTAGTCAAATGCCTTCGCCAATAGTTGGACACGGACCAACGGAAGATATAAGCGGGGCGAAACGCCAGCGAATGCATGTGATGTTTGAAGTGCGAGTTTAAATTATCCGCCATTCAAGGCAGCATTGTGAAAAGAAGGTTGTGCGCGAAGGGTGGCCAAATAGAAGACAATGACGTAGGAGCAACGCATCGAGGGCGCGAGGCGCGAGAAGTTGACGTAAAAGTGACTCGTTCAGAAATACCACGCAACATCTCTTGAGCCAATCACTTCACAACCATGATGTGGAAAGGTATTCGCAACTTTCAAAGATGATGGCGTCGCCATACGACATCCGTCATATGGGGTAATGACGGATGTCGACATCCGTCAGTTGGGGTAATGCCCCCGCAGCCAGCCCACGCCATCGTTCAGTCGGCCTCACTGTGGTGGCTCGCTAGTGCTTTTGTCGCTGGCAATTTCTACTATGGTTATTCTGAATTCGGTAGGAAACTGCTGAAGTCAGACAGGTAGTGCGAGTCGTAGTAGCAGTTATTTACTCTTTATTGTTTGATTGCGGAGGTAGCGGAATCGCGAAATATGTCGGATGCCACTAAATAGACGCCTTGCAGTGAAAGGCGATGTTCTTTGCTTTGCACGAGAACGGCCGCTCGATCTTCCCTGGCCGTGCCACGAGCATCGTCCACAAAGCTGTACGTGCATTCCTTCACACCACGCAAACAATGGGCTCGGCATTCAAAACATCTTTTGCTTCAATATACGCCGAAAACGCCTTTCTCAACACGCAGTGGGAGATATATTACATGCTAAAATCAATGACCTTCTCAGCAAATCCTTGACAACATGGTGGCTACAGTTGAAAATACTACGCAGTTCGTAGTGACGGGCACATCGACGACGGCTGCTGGCGCGCCGGCTGTACGACCCCAAGGCGACAGCCATGTTGGGCTTGATTTAGCGCCCTCTCTAGGCGATAAAAGTTGCCAATCTGAATAGGTGTGGACAAGTGTGCTGGGGGGTGAATGAATAATGGGCTGCTAAGGACCGGGGGAGCTCGAAGGGGACGTGGCCAGCGGAAGGTGGTCACTGGACTGCACGCTGAATATGGGCCATCGGATTGCGGACTCGAGCCATCAGCACCTCCACCGACCGGGCCCTCCTGCCGTTGTATTACCCATCGAGAAGACCACTGCTATGCGGTCGTGAACTCCATCCCAAGGCGAGCGGGCTTCAGTACCGAAAGGGCAGAAACAGCCTTCGGGCCCAAGCTCTGCATCTAGCTATGTGTCCAGCTCTCGGACAAGGTTTTCCCTGTATGCTCAACGTATCATTCTCGAGCCATGAAACGTCATCGTGAGCAGGTATGCCACGTCTACCTAAAAGCCGCAGCAACCATGTTTTGGTTCCGCATGCGTCAACCAGCCCTCAACGTTTTAGTGAAACTGAACTTATATCACCTGGTTGCGTTTGAAACGAGCAGCTCAAATTAGTGAATTGACTTTATTGAAGTGGCCATAATGAGTGTTTTACCGCATGAAGTGAACGGTTTATTGAGTGTTTACTTCGGTGTACGTCTTTTTGTTTCAGTTTCTAATTAAAGTATCATGTTGTTGAAACCAATAGATTTGTCCATTATAGATCTCTCAGTCTCTCCGCCCAAGCGAGCTTATCAAAACAATTGAAAAAGAACCTGCATCACAGCGAGGTAACCACCTCTTCTTGTTCCCTTCATCATCCTTAATTCCACCTTCTTCCTCACTTCTCTGATCCGCTCTTTAGAGTAGCAGGCTCGAGCGCACTAGCTATGGCTGACCTCTCTGCCTCCTAGTGAATTCTCACTCTGTCTGCTAACGGTCCCATATACTCTGAAGTAACGTGGACGCGCGCGTGCGCTAGGCGCAATGACGCTACGCAACCAAAACGCAACGAGCGACTGACCCCACCAACACCTTTCGGGGCGACGTGGCGGCGGCCGCATGAAATGCAACAAGCTGCATTTTGCGCCGACGTTGTTACCCATACTGACGTGACGTACGGGCGCAGGATGCACTCAAACGCGCATGCATTAAGCAGTGTTGTATTCGTTACCAAAAAAAGTAACTATATGCGTTACTCGTTACGCCAACATAAAAGGAACGCGTTTCTTTCCTTCGTTATCAACAAAAAAATGTAACGCGGTACCGTTACAGCTACCGAAAAAAAAGTAAGAGACGGTACCTCGGTCGTTACTCAGCTTTAATAAATATCAATCATCTCTTTTTTGCTGCAGGAACCTACAGTGGGAAAATTTTAAGCTCACACTTTTCACATAAAGCTTCTAAGCCATATGACAATATTTCCAGAAATGTTGATTCACCTAGAATTGCTTGTAGAAAAATGCACTGCACCTTAGCAATGTCATAGAGCTTTTACGTAGTTTCCTCTATCGTTGCGTGCAATGGCTTCAAACTCCAGCACATGGTGAAGGTATTTGTCACAACTTCACATCATGCACAATACGCAATTCAATCATCAACGCCCTAACACGAATTCCCACAAACTAACCTAGTTATCTATTCTCGTAAAGATAAACGCTCTTTGCTAAAGAATCCCCACTGGAATCTAAACAAATTTATGGCAATTCTTTTAGCGTGCTTTTCCTGGCAAAAAAACGCACGAAATTTGTAGTAGTAAAGAATGGTATTAATGGCGTAGTCGCCGGGCAATATATTGCCGTAAAAACATTTCTTGTTCATTTTACCTGGTTTATTTATCGCAAGAATAGGTAGCGTTTATGTGAAGGTGTTCAAGATCAGCCTCGCTCTCGCAGGATTTTTTTTTTACTAGAAACGTTAACTAAAACGCAGTCGGCCATTGCTGCACGGACTAAGGTCAGCATATCGAGAAAAAGATGATGATCATCTGGTCGGCAAAAAGGTTGGGCATACCATCGGCAACTTTCATGTTACAGGACAGAAGGACGCAAAAATGCTTCATTAGCTTTCTACGCCTCCTCAGCAGGAAAGGGTCTATAAGACCTTTTTCATAAAGAGAAGGGTTACTTCTTTTCTTCACTTTTGGGCGGAGGTCCAAAAGCTAGATTTTGTCACTGTGCCTGTACAGAATTGTGATGCTGTAGAGCATGGGACGGCAGCCTCAGCGATCACAATGAATAGCCAGAAAGCCGTCGGTCTTTTTCCGAACAAAATTGTCGTGCTCTCGGAGACGGTAATTGAAACACCTGCCTGTCTGGCTGATCTTGCAGGCTGCACGTGACAAAGGGACTCTGCAGACTACCCCTCCTTTCCCCGCACAAATTCCGGAAACCGATTACGATGCCTTACCTGGCATCTAACTTCGCGTCTCGTGACTGGACTGCTCCTCTGTGAGCGCGAGGCTAACTTGTGTGGGGCCTAAAAAAACCACATAGACACCAACGAGGCCACCGATCTTTTTCAACCTGTGTGGCGAAAGCTCATGTTTGTAAGAAATGACAGCGACTTTTTCGCGTCTGCCCATGCTTTCCTGTACGCCATTATCTGCTGCACGTCGTACGTGCCGCTGAGCTCATAGATGCTTTCGGCCACAACAAGCAGCAACGTCTCAGGATAGCCCGCCTTTTCAAGACGAGCCGCAGTGCGCTATACCGTCTTATGCCCGCGCAGGGAGTCAGTGCCTCCTGCTAAAGATACCCCTCCCCTCCCTCACCTCCAAAAATTCCTCAAACTAAATTCCACCCACGCCTTCTTTCTCAATGCCTGGTAGTTGACAGTGGTCCAACGCTACAACAAAGCAGTCGTATAGGGGCGAGTTATGGGAATGTGGCACCTTCGGAATGGAAAAGTAACGAGTAAAGTGGCACCTCAGGTTACCCAAAAATGTTAAGTAAATTACGTTACCCGTTACAGTTCTAAAATTGTAATAAGTATGTTACTAAGTTACCGAAAAAATTAACCCGTTACCGGTAACGACGTTACATGTACCGCATTGCCGGTAATGACGTTACATATAACGCGTTATTGCCAACACTGCGTCAAGGCAACGTAGTTTTGCTCCAGTTTACTTAAACCGCGACTGCCATAGGCAACGATGTGTTCAGCAGTTGCATGGCGTGGGACCAAGATGGTGCCAATACCTACACCACTGGCGTCGGTGTGAGCTTCCGTGGCAGCAAATGGGTCATAGTGGCGAAGCACGGGCCCTGACGTAAGAACAAACTTGAGTTGCGAAAAAGACCACTCGCATTCCGCTGACCACCAAAAAAGTGCGTTCTTGTTGAGTAGGCACGTCAAATGGTAAGCAAGGTCGGCGAACTCGGGCACGAAATGACGGAAGTACGTGCATAGGCCCAAAAAGGTTCGCAACTCTCGTACAGAGTGAGGTTGTTCGCAGCTGATTGATTGATTGATCTGTGGGTTTTAACGTTTGGAAAGCACCATTTGATTATGAGAGACGCCGTAGTGGATGGCTCCGAAAATTTGAACCGCCTGGGTTTCTTCAATGCTCACCCAAATCTAAGCACACGGACCTAACAACATTTCCGCCTGCATCGGAAATGAAGCCTACGCAGCCGCGATTCGATCCCGCTACCTGCGGGTCAGCAGCCGAGTACCTTAGCCACT